GGACAGGCTGGACGCATGCTCGGTTCGCCCAAACACGAAAATACGGTGGCTGTACGACGGGGTGACGCCTTATTGCAAACGGCTGCCCACACCTCCAAGACCGGTCACGAGTTTAACTTCGCAGTGGCGAGGATAATCGCCCACGCCGGCAACAAGACAGGCCGAGAATTGATTGAGGCCTAGGCCTCGGATGAGAACTCAGTAAATCGATTGATCGGTCTGGCGCCGGCATACATCACCCTGAGCAGTCATCTCCGGACTGGTGGTTAATTGGCCCCTCACCCCTATAAATTTTGCTTGTTTTTCGTTGACGCTTTTATCTCTGACGGTGGACTCCAGCAAGACTTCCAATGCTCAGACAAACAAAATTATGATTGCGGTGATTGAAATGCCTTCTTTTTCTTCTCTATCTACACACATATCTGGAATGCAAACATTTGCCTCAATTCGTGATAGATATGAGGGGTCCGGCTCATCAGTAGTTGCTCTGATATTCCCTGTGTGCTTTCTGGTTCATAAATCAATTTTAAAATTGCATCTTTCTAATTTTCCTCTGAAATTAATTTCTTTGTTTGGTATATATAAGTTTCTTCAAGGTCTATGGGCATCGAATTTTACTGCAGAATTGTTAACTTTAAAACCCCACCTAAGTAATCCATTCGGCATAGAAGGATAGTTTATAAATTAGGTTAACAGTTTACGAGATAGAGCAGCTACTTTATGTTAGGTTCGTTCACTTCCTCCTCAAAAGCGACCAATCAGCTGCCCTGGGCTATAGAGGTTATTGTTACAAAGTTATGCGCCGTTTTGCAAACTGGCGGCAAAATGATACAACACTCCCTCACTTTAAAGTCCCTGGGTTTAGCTTTGTGGAGCAAGGGACTGGGTTGCCTTTTTGTTCGTCTCCAGCTCACCGCCAACTAATTAATACCAATTGGTGGAGAGAAAATTAGAAGGCTGCAACCGAATGGACCGAGTGAGGACGTTATTGTCTCTCAAATTGATGCT